TTTATAGCAGTAGTTTTATTATATTTATATCATTTTTGTTCTATTCATTTAACTATATCTAATGATGCAATATGATAATAGTGAAGTACTCAGGTATTGTATTAAATAACATGATATATATTTCTCGTAATCTGCTTTCAATACCCCCAATCAAGTAATTCAAACAACGTCTGAATGTTTGACACGATTTTATTTCTAAAAATATCTTGCAGCACAAATTGTTTATAATTTTTATTTAGTTAATAGATATAATATACTGCTTTAATCGATAGACTAAAATAAAGATAAACATTTCTGTAATGTCACAATAAGTATAATGAAAACATGATTGGAAATTTCATAAACATATATCTCTATTGCAAAAGATATTTGCTTAATTTGAATAAAAGAACTATCATTATTATATATCATAATAATGGAAAATATAAAGATTGTGTAATGAATCAAGATTCTATTAGTGCAAGTCTTTTACTTTTTTAGAATACATTGTAAGTGTTTTAAACATCCAGTATTTTTGGTTAATATAGTTTAATATTACATATAATTTGAATACAAAAATTGAAAAAAAGGAAGAGCTTAAGAATGAAATTACCTAATAAATATACTTATTAATACTATATTTTTGTTTTAAATTTTGCTTAAAGATTTACATATATACAACATAAAGCTTGAAAGATAGCTAACAAACTTCATTATTTTGATTATTTCATAGGTTATATGTGTTACTTTACATTAATTTTTTCATTACAAAATAAAGTGATAAAATATGTATAAAGCATTTATATATGTGCTAAAAATTAATGTTTTATGTTAAACAGATTTTCTTTTCTGTACACGTAGGAATTAAATATCTTTATATTTTTTTTCTTACTTATACATTTTATGCAATAAGCTTTGAAAGGGTAAAAAGGATATAGGACATTTACCTAAAACGTATGATTCTTTTTCACATTCTTGTTTTATGTAAAATATAGGTTTCCTTAATACAAACATGTAATCTTTTATGCTGCAATTATTTTCATAATTTTATAATGGGTTATAATTACACAAAAAATTAAATATAGAAAAAGTATATTAAAGATGAAAATAAATAGAATTTATTTGTAACGTATTGTATAGTAAAATTTACTGTATACTCTATAATTACTATAAAACAAGATGTTTTTCTCTTATATTTTTTGTTACTCAGATTTTTCTTGTTTCTTGAAACAATTCAGATATTTTTAATTCTTTGAGAATGTAATAAAATGAAAAGGATCAATAAAGAAACAACGTAGATAGTACGTTACCATACAAATTATTTGTGTTCACTATCATAAGTATAAAGAGACAGTTTTAACAATTTTATGTCTAAGAAATGATTATATTATCTATGGTACATATACTTGTGCAAGCCTTTCTTATACACTACATTGTGTAGGTGTTAAATTTCACCTGTTTGCATAAAAAAATAAAGTATGAATATATATCAGATAAGTGCATTTTGTTACAGAGAGGAAGGATATAATTGCATTGATCTAGAAGAAATGATTTACAACAGTCATCATATAATTCTTCCTTGTTATTTTACTTGTATTACTTCGAAACAAATGAAAATTAGTAGAATAAAATATTCTTTTTCATAATCTAATAATTGTTAAATAATTATTATTGATACTCAAAATGATGTAGACTTTTGTAACATACTTCAAGTACCTCTGATACATGATTGTATAAAATGTGTTCATGTATATGAAATTTCATTTGAATTGTTCCAATAAAAAGAGATTTTTTTTAGTAATGTGGAATAAACTTTTTTTAACGTCTCAGGTTATTTTTAACTATTTTTTATAAAGGCACTTATTTGATTTTAATATCAATTTTACACTTTCCATTTTGTTTTTGAAATTCTATAAAAAAATAATACTTGACAGTTTTCAAATACAATTGAAATGTCATTCATTTGTTCAAAGTGTGGATTAAATGTGAAAATTTTTATTCTTAAATAAATATCATTAAGTCAATTAAAATTGAATGGTAGTTGATCAAGATTTATTTGAAATTGCAAGCCTACATAAACATAAGTGTCATCTTCCTTGAAAATAATATACATTATTTTATTCATAAATACTCTGCATATTGTATTATTTAATAATATATCAAGTCATTTCACAAATATTACCAGTTTTTATTTTGGTTGGAAGAAATGACTAGTATCATTCATGTAATATTTAATTGTAAAATCTATATTGTATAATCCAATCGTGCTTTTAAATAGTATTTCCCTTTTGTTAAAGCCAACATTAGAAACACTTATGTACCTTTATGATAGAAAAAAAAAAAAAAGAAATAGAAGATGATCACTAATGACGTCTAGCTTTGCATACTTTATTATTTATCTGAAATGACAATAATATAATTATGAACACAAGTAAAAATTGTTTTGTGATATACTGAAACATGTTTAAGAACAAAGAAGTATTATTAACAGTTATTAAAACTTAAAGTGTCATTTTTTTAAATAATACTAAAACATTAGAGTTTTGTTGGTTGTTGGTTGTAAGTTTTAAATAATTATTTTAAATGCTTTAATTAATTCAAAACCAAACCAATCTATATACAAGAAGTAGGAAAGCTATTATATGCTGCCAACAATATTATGTATTGACATTGGAAATTTCCTTTAATTCAAATAATTATTGACAATACACAGGTAAAAATACTCTTTAAAAATGTAATTAAGAATACTAAAAATTAGAATAAATGTAGGACTTGTTAGTTTCTTATTATTTATCAATTTCATGTATTACATTTTTGAATGCGTTAATAACAAATTATTATTTTTTTCATTTTAATCTCAAATGTTTTATGTCATGAAAGGTATATTGATTTGGGTTGCTTGAATTGTATTAATTACAAAAAATTAACAATTCTTAAGGAAGAAATTTAACAAGGTGTTAAAATGTAAGAAAAAGTTAATGGTATTACATTAATTAGAAGTAATGAAAAATATTACTTTTATTTTTGCAAATGTTATTAAGTATCAAATTAACAATTTGGTATCTTTCAATTCATTCGATTCTTTGACAATTTAAATTTCTATTGAATTAAAATAGAACAGGATTGAGAATCATAAAATTTTTCACATAGTACTATCATCATTTTTTTTTGTATATTATGTATTTATAAATAAATATAAAAGTATT